TGGATCTCTGCGTCCTTCCCTCCCGGAGGCAACTCGCCTCTCCACCCTCGAGGTCAACTTTTTTCTCTATGCACGGAGTGGCAGGGGGGTTTATCTCCACTGTTTCACTAATGGGGCGCCCCCCAGCTCTCCATCTCCGGCTCCAAAATGGACGGAGGGCGGCGAGGAGGAGGTGCGGAGAAAGAGGGGCATGGGTACTTTGGGGTGTCCGCCTTCCCTACCTTCCGCCCATCGGCCGCTCGCTCCCCCTTAGCCATTTTCCCACCGCCATCTCTATATACACTCGGGCCGGCTTCCCTCGACCCGACCGCATTCCCAGCCCTTTTCCTTCCCGCGCCCGTTCCTCCTCGCCCATCCCAGTGTTCCACGGGCAGCGACAAAGCCCCTCGCACTGACCTGAAAGGACCTGGAGCAACAATTAGGGGATCCGACACCGCGCAGGGTCCGACAGCGGCGAAGGAGGGCGGGTACCCGGACTGGTGCCCACATCTGCGCCCCGGCGGTCACGTGAGCGACGTCACCAGCGCCCCGCCCCGCCCACTAGCCGGCGTCTGCCTGCCACACGCCGCCTTTCTCCGGCAGGTCCCCCCTCCACCTCTCTGGGTCCTTTTGTCCTTCACGTCTTCTTGAGAAGTGGGTCAAAGAAAGGATTTTAATAAAAACCACCGAGACTTTTTTTCTTCAATGGGTTGGGCGGTCCGGGGGAGGAGTCTTGACAACGTTGCTCTTAAATTCCATTGAAAGAACGTAGACCTACCCAATGAAATGATATGAATGTGAACTTTAATACTGTACGAAGGAAAGAATGTTGCATTTAGAAAAAAAATATTCTCGAAATGTAATATCCCCTTTTCTTTGACATGCAGAAACATAAATTTTATAATGAATTAAATATTTAAATGAAATTATATTTGAAGCAGAATAAAAGAATGATTTTTTTTTAAGCGAGAGACTGAATATACCACAGTGACTAGACCATATGTGACAATACATCTGTGACCCACAACCTCTGCAACAAGCGGCCCAGGAAGCCAAGATACAGCCTCTGCTTCAAACTTGAGGACTTGATCAATGACTGCAGCCAACCCAATCATATAAAATGCTTTGCTTCTAGTTAGCCTGCCTCCAGGTTCCCCATGCTAACAACCTCAGTCAAAGCATACCTGAAGTCTTCCTTTTTTCCACTCTTAAGCTTTCCCATTCCCCTGCCTGCCTTTAAGTCTCTGCCCATACAAGTGATGGTGGCCGACTCTCTTGTTATAACAAACTCTGAATAAGTAGCCTCTGTTTCCACGTAAGCTTTTTGTGTGGAACGCTTTTTAAAAATATAACAAAGAGATGAACTCTTAAGAGAAACAGTGATACATTTGATTACATGAAACTGTGTATCAGATTTATTGAAGGATTGGTGAACACATGCACTCTTCTCTGCTCTTGTTGAGTGTATTGGTAAAAATTTTCCGAAGGACAGCTTTATATATTGTTTAAAAAGAAAAAAATATTTGATATTTTGGCTCAATAATTCCAATTCTAATATTTACCCACGGAGATAATTTATAAAGTACTAAAATATAATCTTGTAAAACGTTTTATGTTTTAGAAATTCCATAGCGAGTGTTTATTAAACATTTATTCTTTGCTGGAACTAAGGCTATAGTATTGATTCTTCAGACGTTGTTTATAACGGGAAAAAAATGGAACATCACGATTGTCCATCAGTACAGATTTAGTTACATAATCTTCTTAGTACTTTGTTTACCCTGGTTATCTTTGGATGCTTGGTTTAGAAAAATAATTAATCCTTTTTTGTGTGTGTTGGGTGCTCAATACACAGTAAAAATAATTATTAACTATCCATAATCCCAAATTACTCTAGGTGGTGGAACACAAAGGATAACCACAGGATGTGGTATTTCCCTCTAGAGAATGCCACCTATGTGCCAGGCACTCTGCTAACTACCTTATCTTGTCTGGTGTGGATTTCATTTATACTTGATGGGGGAACTCATACTCCAAGGAAGCAGAATGATTTATAAAGCTACAATCTTAACTCAGTGTAGTATTGGAATAAACATAGTAAGAGGAATAAAACAGAGCCCACTAACATCCCCAAGTATAAAAGTTTTTAGCATGTGACAAGTATTTCCGATCAGTAGTAAAAAATAGGTTGTTACAGACATTACATTTCTATAATTAAGTGGTTAAAGGAAAATAAAGAAACTTATTTTCTGACATACACTGAAATTCTTTTCAGAGTAGATAATAAAAATGAAAATAAAGGTATCTAGATTGGAAGGAAAGAAGTAAAATTCTCTCTACTTGCAGATGACATGATCTTATACATAAAAAATCCTAAGGAATCCACCAAAGAACTATGAGAACTAATGAGTTCAGCAACGTGGCAGAAAAATTATAAAATATTGTTACAAGAAATTAGAGAATACCTAAATAAATAGAAAGACAGCCCATGTTCACAGGTTAAAGTTAATATTGTTACGATGGTCAATGCTTCCCAAATTGATCTACAGATTCAGTGCAATCTCTATGAAAATCTCAGCGGGCTTTCTTGCAGAAATTGACAAATTGATCTCAGAATTCATATAGCAATGCAAAGAACTCAGAATAGACAAAACAATCTTGAAAAAGAATAAAGTTAGAGATTTCATACTTCCAGATTTCAAAACTTACTATAAAGCTATAGGAATCAATACAGCGTGGTAATGGCAAAAGGAATTACAGACCAATGGAACAGACTTGAGAGCCTAGAAATAAACTCTCACATTACAGTCAATCAATTTTCAGAGTGCCAAGAAAATTCAATGATAAAAGAATAGTTTTTTCAACAAATGATAGACAACCAGCTAGCCACATACAAAAAATTAATTTGGACCCCCATGTCACACCATATACAAAATTTAACTCAAAAGAAATTAAAGTTCTAAATGTAAGAGCTAAAACTATTAAACTCTTAGAAGAAAATATAGGTTTAATTCTTCATGACCTTGGATTAGGTAATGGTTTCTTAGATATGACATCAAAAGCGCAAGCAACAAAAGAAATATAGATAAATAAGACTTCATCAAAATGTAAAACTTTTATGATTTAAAGAACATCATTAAGAAAGTGAAAAGACAACCCTCAGAATGGGAGAAAAGTTTTTAAAGTAACATATCTGACAAGGGACTTCTATCTAGACTATATAAAGAACTCTTACACTCATTAAAAAAATAAATAAATAAATAAATAACCCAGTTTAAAAATGGACAAAAGCAGTTATAAAATAAGTCACGGGGCAGCATAGGAAATATAGTCAATAATGTAAAACTATGTATGGTGTCAGATGGTTACTACACTTATCATGGTGATCACTTTGTAAGTTATATACATGTCTAATCACTATGTTGTAACCTGAAACTAATATAATATTGTATGTTAACTATAATTTTAAAATATTTTTTTTAAAAATTGGAAAATAATCTGAATAGATATTTCTGCAAAGAAAATCTACAAATGGCCAATACCCATGATGTTCAACATCATTAGCCATCAAGGAAATGCAAATCAAAACCACAATGAGATACCACTTTATACCCATGAGGATGGATATAATTGAAAGGATAGATAATAACAGGTGTTGGCAAATATGTAGAAAAATTGGAGCCATCACACAGTGATGGTGGGAATGTCAAATGGTGCAGCCACTGTGGAAAACAGCCTGTCTGGTAGTTTCTCAAAATGTTAAACATTGAGTTACCATATGAGTCAACAATTCCACTTTTAGGTTTTTTCACAAGAGAAATGAAAAATGTGTCCGCACAAAAATTTGTGTGTAAATGCTCTTGGCAGCATTATTCATAATAATTAAAAACTAGAAATATCTCAAATATCCATCACCTAATGAATGGATCAATAAAAAGTAGTATATCCACATAATGGAATATTATTTAGCAATAAAAAGGAAATGTAATGCTAAAAGCATGGATGAATCTTGAAAACATTGTGCTAAGCGAAAAGAGTCATTCATAAAGACAACATATGGTTTGATTCCATTAATATGAACTGTCTAGAATAAGCATATCTATAGAGACAGAAAATAGATTAGTAGTTGCTTGGAGCTCAGGAAGAAGATGGGGTGAAATGGGTAGTGACTGCTAATAGGTTTATGCTTTCTTTTGGAGGTGGTAAAAATGTTCTAAGATTGATTGTGGTAATGGTGACACAACTCTGAATAACTAAGGAACAAAAAGAACAAACTAGTAAAAAACAGACTCACAAATATAGTGGACAATTTGGTGACAGACAGAGGGGAGGGAGAGTAGGGGCTGGGAGAATGGGGTGAAGGGTTAAAGAAGTACAAATTAGTAGTTGATAGTTGGCCACAGCATAGGGAATGCAGTTAGCATTAATATGATGGCTAGGTGGAGGGCCGGGGGAGGGAGGGAGCAATTGGGGGGGTCGATTTATAAACTATATAAATGTCTAACCAATATACCATATACTTGAAATTAATTAAAATAAATAAATTTTAATAAATAAATAAATAAATAAATAAATTTTAAAAAAGCATTGGATTATGCACTCTAAATAGATGAAGTATATTGTATGAGAATTATTTGTCAATAAAACTGTTATTAAAAATCTGTCATAATTTTGATGATTTCAAAATATGTTATATTGATTTTTCTATACAATGGATTGAATTAAGATCACATACTTTTTTCTATATTAAGGATGCTTTTGTATTTATATCTTGGTGGTAATTTTCTCCATATTTTTTCTAAGAAATTGAATTGAGGGATCAAAAAAATGATGGAAAATTTAAGATTTCTTGATACATGTAGCTAAAAGTTAACTATGTTGTTTATTAGGATTTTTTCAGAAAAATATAAACACCTATAATGTAAAAAGTAGATCTGTATGCTGTATATTATTAATTTTTCTATGCTTATTTCATATACACAATTTACATATTTAATGGAATTATACCATATATACTGTTCTGCTACTTGATTCTTCCACTTAAAAGTATATCTTCAGCACATTCTCATGTCAGTATAGATGGAACTACCTTATACATTTTAATAGTTGCGTATTATTTTACTCTTTAGATTTACCACAAATTATTCAATCAAACCCTCATTGATTAATGTTAGAAATTTTCTGTACTTCTACTATTAACAACATTGCTCCAGTGAATATCTATATGCAGATTACATCCATTAATTCACTGAGGAACAGATTTAATTTTCAAACATGGTATATCCCATTCCGCGTGTGACCTTGCCACTGTTCTCATTGAGAAATGTGGACTATGTCTTCTCCTCTTGTAGCTGAGAGGGCTTATGACTGTATTGACCAATAGAATACAGTGGTAATCACTTTGTGTGACTTCTGAGGCTAGATCAAAAAACACCAGGAAGCATCTGCCTGGTACTTTTGGGATGCTAACTCTGGG